AAGGGCATGCAGCAAAACTAAACTAAACACTGAAACTCTTGATTATAGACAAAAGCTGCGTTCTGACCAAAATCATCAGGAACCCTTTGTCCCAGGAACTAAGAAACTAAACGGTTCCTACAAACCAGACCACAGACCACAAGGGAAGATTAGACAAATTAGCCTGCTGATGTATGAACAACGGACAGCTACAAAAAGCTGTTCAACCCTTGTCCCAGAGGCAATGTTGTAAATGGGCAGTGCACATCGTGAAACATTGAAAAAACAGTAAAAATTGTGCTGCTTTTGATCAGAAAAGGGTCGAGGACAAGTAAGAAAGCACATTTAAAACAACCGAAATGCCAGACATAACGTTAGGAACCGGATTTTACGACCTATTGCGATAATTAAAGACTGGCTGAAAAAGATAATAAATAATAAAAAGATTTTAATTTAGACTGTGGTCCCTGCGGTGGAAAAACATAACCCTTTACCACCCTTTTGTGTTTTGACAGCCAAAGACCTGGATCTCACCCAGAAAATCGGGTTCGATTATCATGAGCAACAAGATGACACAGACCAACCAAAACATTGTGACCACCATTTCAAAAACCAAACAGAGCTTGTGTCGTGTGTAGTCTGCAAAGAGGATTGAATATTTTTAACTATGGATGCCAAAGCAAAGCAGTGGTGGTCTGACAAACTGTTGTTGTTCTGTTGTCGTCAGCTAAAGTGCAGAACAAACCAGACAGAGGGAGCTTCACGAGCAAAGCCTGTGCTGGGAAATCAGAGACTTGTACAGTGACGTAATGTCATGGCTCTATCCTGTGGAAAAGCAAACCAGCGAACCAACTCCGAACCAGCCCCATAGCACCAGGTACACCTTGGTCGAAAAGGGGGTAATCATCAGAGTTCGTGCAAAGGTTCTCTGTTTTTGTAAAAAGTTCCTGTGGTGAAAAAGCAGCTATAATTGCTTAAAAAAGAGATTGTAAGAAAAGCACAAATGCCATGACTAAACCATGACTAAAATCTAAATATTTGATTCCCTTTATTAACAGAGCAGCTTGACGCCACGGATTCAGCAACACGCCAAGGCCAAGTATTTAAATTCAGCAAAACAAATGTGTGTGAAATGAGTTCATCCACACTACATCTCTTCTCTGAGCCCCTGAGCAGAAAAGAAAAGAAATATGTATTGAAACTGAAGCCTGAAACTGTGAGGGGGGGGAGAAGAAGCCTCCTTAGAATGAAAATCTTTACAAACAACAGTTTTATCTGAGAGAACCAGGTCTGCTGCCTCTCACTCATGCGCTCTACGCTCAAGAGATGACATCATGTTGGGTCAGCTTGGGTTTTAACGCTCGGCTCGCTCTCCACATCTGCCATTTCGAGCCCACATCCACTTTTTTTTTTAACCTGCTGCTTACTTCACCGTGCATGTGAATGAGTGCGTGCAGGTGATGACCTCCTGCAGAGGGAAGGACTTTGTAAATAAATGCTAAAGGGAGAATGTTGTGAATGCGAGTCGTTATTGCAAAAAGTGTCCAGCGTGCGGAGGAGCTAATGGCGTAGTAAAACGTGGTTAAAGAGGAGGTTCGGGTCTCAGCTGAGAGCCATTGAGAATGTGCGTTGATAGTAAAAACAATGAGGGGATGCGACGGAAGGTGCCACGGTGGGTTTGCATGTGACACACTCACGCACACTGACCCACATTCGATGACAACGGCGAAATAAACAGCGGGGACAAGTTTGCACAGCGTCCACACACACACACACACACGATCCCACACATCCATCAAGTGCGCGCTTCACCTGTCAGCCGTCCTCCGCTGCTCGTACTCACCCGCTGAGGGAGAAACCAAACCGGGGGGATGCAGCTCCACAACATCCGAAATTAAGGTTTTCAGCAGGTGCACGGACGCAGCGAATCAAACCGTACTACGCACTTCAGCCCCCGGCGAGGAGGAGCTGCCGCCGCCGCCGCCACCACCACCGCCACTGCTGCTGCCGCCGCTCCGTGGACTCACCGTCTCTCCGGGGACTCAAACACAAACAAGCCACTGTGGTCACTCCACTCAACCACCCCTCCTCCTCCTCCACACGACTCCAGGTGCCGGTGCCACCTACTCCCCCCTCTCCCCTCCCCCCAGCTCCTTCACATCCACTTTTACCGCTTAGCGACCTAGCTTAGCCGAGAGGAAGCGTCGGTTCAGAGGTGTAAGAACCGTTAGCGACACAAACAGTGACAGCGCCGGGAGGAGAGGAGGAGGAGGAGGAGGAGGAGGAGAGCCCGCTCACCTTTCGGGTCCAACGGGGCGCGCAGATAAAAGTGCTCCTCTCCCAGGGTGGAGGACTCCCACGCAGCCCGGGGTCTGTGGAAGATGTCGGTGACACTTTGCGGGGCGCTGCTGTCAGTTGGTGCGGACTTCCTGAATGACGGAGCAGCGCGAGCTCAGCCCTCCTCGGGTTTTTGACACACGGCCGGAAATAAAAAAGTTGTCGCGTGCAGCAGAGGATGAACACTTTTCCTGTTTGTTTTCTTTTATTTATCGGTTGTTTTTTTTGTGTTTGTCGCGCAGAGTCAACACCGAATTCCAGCACCGCAAAGTCGAATGTTTTTACCCCACCTCAAAAAAAAAAAACATCAAACGCAAAAACATCCAGCGTTGCGTTTGTCCTTTGATCCCAAAGATCACAAGTTGAATGTTGTCGAGCTAACAATCCCGCACCTGGTTTTCTTCGTTGAAGATGCGTGGACTGACCGACTGAGTGACTGAGTCAACCCGGTTCTGTCGCAACTTCACGGACGGTGATCCAGCGCATGTCCTGAATGTAGCTCAGTGCAATGCTGCCACCTGCTGTTTGAGCTTTGAAGTTTATCTGACGACATTATGGTCAAAATATCTTGGATGAGAGAAGAGGTCACTTTTTGTTATTCAGGAGATAAAGAGGAATAAATAAAGAATAATAATAATGGATAGCATTTATATAGATATTTTTTGTAATGTTCTTTCATTTCTGTTCTTATCCACTTTTCTATTTCCTTTTCTTTTTAATGTTCTTTTTCTACATGTTCATATGTTGTGAAATAAATGAAGATATTTTCTCATAAAGAATGAAGTATAGAACCTTATGTGAAGTATAATTTATATAAAAAGATAAAGATAATTTTGTGCACAGATATAATCAGGATCATTGCCCCGAATCCAAAATACAGGCAGGTTTAATTTTGCTCCTGAGGAGCACAGACTTTGATTGTTATGTAAACTCAGTGAAATTGAGAATGAGATTCATTTCTATTTCTTTCTATTATCCAGCCTACAAGAACATGTGTGCTTTCTATGCAAAATGTCCTCTTTTTATGATTATATCTTTTGGCTTGATGATTGTGAAACAGCTGAGTTGTGCTTCAGGGCAGGAACTTCTTCCCCTGTAGCTGATTGTATTTGCCAAACATGGGAGACAAAGGCAGAATATTTTGTTTAAGGTTGAATTATAAAATACTCAGTAACAACTGCAACTGTACCTTTTGGTGTCTTGTGAAGCCATGAGGTTTGGACACAAATATAAGATGCACAAGATTCAAGCCATGGGGACGTCACTGAATTAATAGGTGAGATATGTCCTTTGTACAAAATAAAACACTGGGAAGACAACTCTTTATTTATTTTTGTTTTTATTCTTTTTTAACATAATACAACAAAACAGAGCTGCATGTCTCCTGACAGACTCTAAGACAACACCTTGACAAACCTCTGCAAGCAGTGGCTCAGGAGGTTAAGTGGTCAGCTAATTATCAGAAGGATTTTGAATTGAGCCCCTGCTCATCCAAAGCCGGTTGAACAATATACTGAACCCTGAACAGCTCCTGATGTTTGTGTGAATGGGTGAATAAAGTTGTTTTGGATAACAGTATCTGCAAAATTCAATATATCTATAGGTTCTATCTGCAAAGTTCTTGATTTGCAATATTATTATTACAGTGTCTTTGGCCAGAATTGAAGACTGGATGCAAGGGTGGGACATTGGCCAGGGAAACCCCCCTGTAAATCCATACAAAAGGGGCAGGGACTGTGCCTGTCGTTTATTACCCCAATCCCAGCTGAGGACCATCGGTGACCATGCCTTTTCTGTTCTGGCGTCCGAGATCCTTGAGGAGATCCACCTAGGAAGACAGTAAGAGGAAAGCTGTGGTTATGCTTCAGTTTATCCTCTTTTGATTTTAAATGTTATTGTTATTATAGTTAGGACTCTCTGAATTCACTTTTTACTTTTGAAACTTTTTACTATACAAAGTTTTATCCCGGCTCTGTTCTTACTGACCATTTTTGAATGTTTTTTTATGTATATTTTTTTAATTATTTATCTGTAACATTTTTACTTTTATAGCTCAGCCCTAAATGTTGTGTGATCTTCAACTGATTTAAATCATCTCCCATTGTTCATTTCTTTCTTTCTTTGTTTAAAATATAAATCACTTTATGCCTATATATTCAAATAAAGTTTATTATCATGATTATTATTGTCTCTTCTCCTCAGTGAAAGTGTAGTGAACCACACAGGTTCAAAAACAAAGAGACCCCATAGCCCCATCCTCATGTTCGTAAATATGCCTGTTTAAATATGTCTGCCATGATACTTGACGCGCTTATGAAATTTTTAAATCCTAAACGGGTATACGTTATCTAGACTTCTTCGGTTTGAAAATGTGTAAAAAAATACATTTATTTCCACATTACACTTTAAATAACAGTGACATTGTGTACAGGCATAAGGTCGGACAGCTTGATGCTCAGGGGTCCTGCCAGTTGTAGGCGCTGTTCTCAAGCCGAGCTGCAAAAAAACACAAATCGATTGTTTATTTTGTGTTTGTTTACATTTTTTCCACGCGAAGAAATGGCTTCGACGCTGCTGTCGCCCATGGTGGATTATTACAACGACGAGGAGGAGCTCGACAGCGTGGACGACGACGACGATCGCAGTTTCAGGGGAAGAGACTCAGAGGAAGGTAACGTTCAACGAGGCTGGGCTCTGTCTACTTGTTGGAGAAGAAACGGAAACGCGCTGTTTGTTGCATATACGTTAGTTATTTACCGTGGCGTGTGGTGCGGAGCTTAGCTGGGAATGTATTATGCATATGCACTCTTTAGCAAACCAACTCCCCAGGAGCAAGCCAGCGCAACGCGAGGGGCAACTACACACGGTTAGCCTGTTAGCTGCACATGTTAGCCACCCGCCAAACAAGCCCCCGTCTGGACTCACTCCAGGAGGAGGTGAGGTATCAGCGGATGACCCGTTAACACTCGGTGGGTGTCTCCGGTGCTAGAGGCTAACTTAGCTCATGGTCAACGATTCACAATTTTAACGCCGCGCTTTGAAGCTAGCTAACTCTGCTACACTCAAGAGACGCGAGAGACGTCAACAAGCTTCCTCCGCCAAAGTCCACACGCTCGCGCAATCGTGCAATAAGGTAACAGATAATCAAATGTATGTAAAAAAGCAGACCCACCCTGCTGCAGCTGACCCGGGTGTGTGCACAGTTTTAATAATGGATGATCTCTAAAAGAAAAAAAAAGGGGGGGGGGGGTAGTAGCCACATAGCGTTAATTAGCCAGCTAGCTACGTAACGCTAGTTCCGAGCACTGACAGGTCGCCGGGCTGGTGAAACCCTGCGTGTTGTGTCCACCGCACTGGCCTCTTCACACTGTTCACCCGCACAGGACGGAGGATCGCAGGGAAACAGGCAGACAGGCAGAGGCGATGGCAGCACCACCAGGTTAGCTAGCTTTCCCGGAGCGGACGTTGTGCCGTGGTGTGTGTTGAACTCCCCCGGCTGCGGTTCTGTTTTCGCCTGAACTACAGCAGCTACAAGCGGGTTTACTCTTTAAAGCAGCAGGCTGAGCTAACTTAAGCTAGCACATTGATGCTAACCGAAAATGAAAGCTGCTGTGTCAGCTCAACACGGCCGGGCCTTACCCTTCTCATGTGCCCCGGGCTGGTTGTCTGAAGGTAACGCTGACTGACAGTAGGTTTCGCCGGTGCTTGTAAACTTGGCTCCCCCGGAGTTCGCCGCTGGTCTCGGGCGAAGCGTGTTAGCATTTACCGGTGGACTGACAGCACGACCAAGTTGGCCTCTGATTTATCTCATCATGCGGCAAAGCCTTCACACTCCGCTCGTGACGCTGATGACATTGGATAACGTTTAAAAGCACCGCTCTCTGGATGCTACATGTCCTCACCATAGCCTCGTCTAACCCAACTTTGTTTCCTCTGACGTCCGAGAAGATTCCGGCAAAGATCTTCCGCGTCCAACACAGATTTTGCTCCTTATCCAACAAACCACAGAGGGCATTCCCAGGCTGGGTGTTCACCATTACCCTCCCAGTGCCACGCACGTCCTTTCATCAGCTGTCTGTCAGTCTCTTCACTCAATCACATTATCTTCTAACTGTTGGGAAATCTAATAGTAATGTCGATAATGGTAATAATAAAACAGATGCACAGTTGTCTCGTGGTACTGCTGCTGCCTGCTGTAACACTCACGTGGAGAGAATCAGTCGTTGGATTTAGTTGGAGAACTACTTTTGTAATCTGAGCCCTGTCATGCCCTTCTTCCAGACACAGAGGATGCCAGTGAAACGGACCTCGCCAAGCATGACGAGGATGACTATGTGGAAATCAAAGAACAGTAAGTGTTGCTGACGAGCTCTGATCAGCTGTCATACACAATTTATAAAAGCACTGTTGTCAAGAGTGATGTTTTTAAGTGTTAGTTTAGTAGTGTCCTTTTATTCAGCCTTATAGGGTCTAACAATGTGTACAAGGTGAGACATCCTCTGTCCTTAGTAGGATTTGTAGGCAGGCATATTGTATATCTAAGCAATCTAGTGTTAATCATAATCCAAGCTAAGATAAATCCACGATGTATAAGGTTTCCTCGATTCCTGTTAATGGTGTTTTGCTCTGTGCTTGAATGAATGCTATGATTTGCATTGCTTTTATTGGTTGTATGAAAAGTGCCATACAAAGTGTTTCAGATTGATTGATAATGCTGCAGGTAGCTCAGTATGATGTTTCTTCTGCTTTATTGAATTGCAGAATGTACCAAGACAAACTGGCCTCCTTGAAAAGACAGCTGCAGCAGCTACAAGAAGGTAATCACTCGGATTTATTCTTATCACTGTGGGAGGGGGAGTTTTTCCATATATGTGTGACTGGTGCAATTTATTTTGTGGGATTTGTGAGACGTGGACTCGTTCACTGGAGATGTTTGAAGGACACAGTCAGATCCTCTCATATTTGTTATGGTGGTGGTCAGGGATTACATCATCAGGCTGTAAAGCCAGTTCCAAAGGTGATTCAAACTTATGACTCATTTGAAATCATCCAGACTGTTTACTGATACAATCTCAATTATTCAAGGCTGATGTTGAATGTAGAAACAGTGCCATGACATGTTGTGGGGTTTTTTAAAATCCATATGCAGCTGTAATGTCAGTTGAATTTAGTCGAGTGTGCGGTTGGATACTGAGAGCACAGCATCAACAATGTCAAAAATATTTCCAGAATGGGTTTTCTAAAAAAAACATTGATGACATATTTGAATAAATAGCTTGTATTCAAGTTTAAATCACTTAGATTTCACCTGACACATCTAAGTTATAATTTTATAACATCATGAAAATAGTACCCCTGCCAAGGACTTTATGTTTCATACCTGTCTGCCGGTTTGTTTGACAGCAGGATTACACATATTTTTAATAAACTTGTTCAGCATAGAAAAATCTCCGTCGAATTTTAATAGTTAATTTACATGTTCTATTTGAAGGTACTCTGCAGGAGTATCAGAAGAGGATGAAGAAGCTAGACCAGCAGTACAAAGAGAGACTCCGAAATGCAGGTGAGTTGAGCAGCATTCAGAAACAGACCACACTTTGGCTTCTGATGCATCACCATCATCCCTGTTGGGAGGAGAATATTAAAATTCTGGAGGGCTTCCTAATTTAGTTAGGTTTGTTTGGCGACGGGAGAACATTGGCTGGTGCACAGCGCTGCAGAACAACACTTTGGAAGTGAGAACTAGGAGGAAACCAGCCCAAAATTAGGAGTCGGAGGGGGGTGGTGTTTTTGTGTTTTTTATACAGGCTACATCCACACGACTACATCTTAGTTTTAAAGTACATGAGTGTTGCTATGTTTACATGTACTCTGGACTTTTTTCAAACACCTGCTGGTTGTTTTTGGTCTGGATAGTCAGAAACGATTGTTGGTGCAAGAAAATAAATCCCTTGTCTTACTTTTACCATTCTTTTTTGTTCATAGTATTTTTTTATAACCAAGTAACCATCTGCTTCCTGTTTACACAACCACACACGCCAGTTTACTTGACTGGTCATGTGAAATATGTTTTCAGGTGTGTTAGAGGATTGTTTCTGATGCAGAGTCACTTGAACTGTTCAGCACAAGTTCCAGAAATTGTACGTTTTGGTTGTTCAGAGTCTGTCTTCACACAACATGCAACTTTACTGTTAAATGAAGACATCGTATTCTAGTTATATAAAAATAACACAAATCATATTTATTTTAAAAGGTCTGAGTCGTCCTCCTCTGTGCTCCAACCTTGTCCATCTTTCTTTTTGGTCCACTTTAATTTGGCTCAGTCAGTGACTCGTGTGTGTGATCAGCTTCTTCCTTTGCTTTCTGTGTGTCAAAATTTGATGTGCCCCATTTTTCGGATGATGATGAAAATGTTGCGCTGCAAAAAAAGAATAAGGAAAGAAAGTCAGACCCTGTTAATCGACTCATATAATGATCAACTGAGAACTTGACATAGAAAGGATAAAAGGCTAAAATACAGTATGAGATGTATCCCTAATGACTGGAAGCTTTGATTTCAAGTTCATAGATGTTTGCTTAAAGCTTGCTTAGGTTTTTCTTTCAAGTCTTGAAGGGTAATCAAAGTCCACTCAGATTTAATGTACCAGAGGTGAAGTTCATGACATGCAACTGATGTTTGTTCTTCATGACCAGTTCTGTTTTTCCTTCCCTTTACAGATCTGTTCCTCCAACTTGAGGTGAGTAATGTTCATCTTCAGCTGACGTCTGCAGGACTAATGCAGTTTTTAACAAAACTCACTGTCTTGTTTGTTTCTCTTTGTCGTTTCTGCCCGTCACCCGTCTGCAGACAGAGCAGGTGGAGAGGAACTACATCAAGGAGAAGAAGGCAGCGGTGAAGGAGTTTGACGATAAAAAGGTGGAACTGAAGGAAAACCTAATTGCGGAGCTGGAGGAGAAGAAGAAGATGATTGAGAATGAAAAATTAACAATGGAGCTGACAGGTGGTAAGGGAGCCAGAGCGGGAAGATTAATCATGAACTCTCTCAGCAGCAGAAGAGAGGGAGAGAAATGGGGTAAAACTGTGTGTGGTGGGTGGAAGTGAGTTTCACATAAATATTAAATTGTCTGATTCAAAAGGACTTTTCAGATACAGTGAATGAGGATGTTACTGTCAGTCCTTTTGAATGTGCTTTTTTTGTTGTGTTATTTTGACATTTCTTTTTGTTCATAGATTCAATGGAGGTAAAACCCATCATGACCAGGAAGCTGAGGAGACGACCTAATGATCCCGTCCCAATACCAGACAAACGGAGAAAACCTGCACCAGATATCCTTCACAGACTGAAGATAAGGAAAAGTTTTAGGGCCAAGTTAATTCTATATTCTCAATATTTCCACTTTATTCTTGACGTTTTCACTTCCTCTGATTCAT